ACACAACGGAGCTTGTTTTAATCCATTAAAGTGTAAACATTTGTTTCCACTTGCCGAAGGCCAATTTAACTTAATCCTTGTGACCGACCAATGAGAATTTTGCTAGCCACGCCCAGTAAAGAATTACGCCATGGACAATGGCAGTTTACTCTCCCAAGACATGAGTCTCCTAAGTATTTCCTCAACCTGTTCTACCGAAAGTATTTTATCCGGTATAAGTAGCGGTATAGATACATCAACATTCGACTTTGGTATACAGAGTAGGTGGTGTTGCAGTTTTTCTTATATTCCAAGGGTCGTACAGCAGTGATTCATGTGCTGCAGAACAATATCCCGATAAAAGGTTAAAAATTGCGGGTAGGATTTATTAGAATTGTGTGATTTCTAAAACGATTATTTCGCGTCGTCAGAAAAAAGCAGCACGCAAATCATTGGAAAACGAATAATTGCGAGAAAACCAAACTATCCTGGGAACAGGGTAGTACCGGTATCTTTGACGGCTCCAAAGGTAGTGTCTTTCAACATCATATTTGTCGATCATATTGGAAACTGATTAATGCTAAGGTTTGCAACTATAGTTACAAATAGCAGACACCCACTTGAAAAGGTTACTGCTTTTTGAGGACTAGATCATATGATACAAACCGTTTTCTCCTTACCAAGTCAACGCCTCTTATAGACGTATTATTCTTTTGAATTTAAGTGCGCTGTAAAATATCCAAGTATTTATGTCTCGATCGTGAGATCTACGAATATACTGGTTGTGATAGATTCGTAATAACATTGGTTACCATCACAGCAGCCAAGATGTTCCTCAAAGCCAGAAAGCTTAATACGTCCTCTAAATTTGTATTTTCGTCTTTGAGTTATGACCCACGCCATACATCTTTAATAGCGCTGAAAGATTTAAGTGATTCAATAAGTTGTTGCAAAAACCTCAAAATAATTCGAATTTCCTTCTTTATTTCCCTTTCAAACGCGGCGATAGACGAGTCGAGAGCTAGGGTATTTAACGAGGATTCTGTAGGTACGCTTTTATTCCGAACGAGACGGGGTTGTTATTCTCAACTAGTTTCGGTAATCAGTGTTAATCAGTGCTGACAGCCACAGAAACAAGCGTAAAAAACTTCTCGATAAAAGAGCAAGCCAAGTAATACAGTAGTCGCCGGCTATTAAACCCATGGTTAATAATATCGCCGCTTATTAAGCCCAATTTGGTCTGGGCCCGAGGTGGACTTAATAACCGGCGACTGCTGCATTAAGCCCACGGTTAATAAGCCCGCGGCTTATTAAGCTCAATTTGGTCCGGGCCCGAGGTGGGCTTAATAGCAGGCGACTATTGTAACACAGCAGCTGCATGGAGTATAAGTGAAGGACAAAAATATCACTAAATGGCCATCATCAAGGGCAGTAATCTGTGAATAGGTTTATTGCTATCTCTGTATAAAAATACCAATAAAAACATAATAAAAATTAAGAAAACAATATAGCAGACAGGTAAATATACCTATAAATGCAAAATAGAAATGTTTCTGCAGCCTTCTTGCGGAACAAAATTGCGTCACAATTGGATGGCCTAATAATTTCTCGGTCGCCAGATGTCGCTTATATAACGGGTGTGTCAACCTTAGTTGAAAATTTAAAGAATTATTATTCGGTATAAGAATCACGTTTCGATTATCAAATATGTACACGAAATAACTCATAGGGATATCACTAGTTTTTATTTATTTGGCCTTGTTTCAAAAATTATGTTCTCGTCTGCGTCATATAGTCTCCTGACTTATTAACCTCACACAGATCTGCACCTACATACCTATGCTTGAGATTCTGAGGTTTGTATAATTCAAGTAATTCCGTGACTGACAGACTAAATTAAGCAAGCATAGTTTAGAACCTGAAAGTTAACGCAGGCAGTAAGTGCAGTTTCACCATAAGTTAATTTGAATTGGACCCATGTGCAGCCTTCGCGCAATAACCAGACAAAACCTTCTGTAACCTGTAAGCCTGGCTTCGACTGCTCTCGGATAACAAAATTTTGTCCCTAAGAGGTTAGCACGCAGAACGCTCCTTTATTCTGACGCTCTGAAAGACGAATCTTCTGGAGTTTATTTCGAAGAGTTAGAATGCCGGACCATTTTTTGCCAGCTCTAGTGCTCAATACCTTTAATATTTCTAGCCAAGCCTCCTCGAACGTATTCTGTGTTTGCCTTAACTGATGACGTCAACAGCAGAAAGCAGAACGTTTTTGAGTACTTCTGGCACATCGTTTGTATAAAAGCGGAATGTCGATTGAACTACCACGTACATCTGTGAAACACTGACAGAAACGAAAATCGTTGGTGACGTGGTTCTGCGATTGGATAATCAAATATTCGGTTAGAAACTCTATTAAAATCAAACGAATCCCTCAATAGATCCTATTTTTTGAATTTTTTTCCATTAATCATCGTTTGTTTAATGTCATAGTTTTTAGGGAGCTCACTTAAACTTGAAAATATGTCTTCATAATTGTTGATTCTTGTGCGTGGTAGTTTTATTAGACTCGAACGCTTTGTGAGAAATTATCTTTCTCCAAAAGAAGAATATGTAGACGCAAATAAAGTTCTTTTTCTATGTCTTATCGTAACAAAGTGATAGCGGTGGCCGGAGGGATGATAGTCATAGATGGAATTTCCCTAATCATCCGGGAGCAGTCAGAGCTGAGACCAGACTTGAAATATTATGAAGTTATTTGCTAATAGTGGTGTAGTTTGCCAAAAAAGATACAGGACAAGAACTCGACTACTGGATCTCATCATGCTTTAATTATAACTGTTCGCTTTTTATTCGGAACAATTGCGTCTGAGACAGAACTGGAAATGAGCGTTCTTTTATTTGTATAATTCAGCTACAAGAAATTTTCTACGGGTTGAGAACTTGATTCTGTTTTGTTTGACGGCCGAGTTCAATCGCTCGTTCAGCGAAGGCAATCAAACTCTTTGAAACATACGAATAAATCTGAGTTATGGGGGTTTAGGCTATTTTAATTTCAAAATGCGTGACCTATCACATTCTAAATGCGAAGTATGCGAAAGATTGATAATCACTCGCTAACTGGCACCAAATAATGTACCAACGCTTGGCCACAGTAACGATCAACCTATTTTCAACTTAACGAAACTACCAAAACATTATCTTGTTTAGAAAAAAAAACATTTTTTATACAAGCGGCAAATTCGAAAAACGGGAAAAATCGCTAAAACCAGGAATAATAAAAGTAAATAGAATTGTCAGGTCAATGATAAATATAACATTTTGCGTATATTCCTGGATGATTCCGTTCGCTAAGTTTCTTCATAGGTATTTCTATTCTTGGGTTACAATGAGCTTCACGTCGTCCTTAACCTAGCGGTGAATGCTTTATTCTTTTGGCTGTCTTCATTCTGCTGGCAAAAAGTACAGGTTTTTTCTTAGATGTTTATCAAGAGTTTCAAAATAGGATTTTGCTTAAAGACATTGACTGATTTAGTGCGGTTTTAGACATTCTTCCTAATGCAGATGGCGGTTTAAGTGATATGCGTAGACTCATCCAAACACGAAAACTCATTGCCGAGAAAAATGATCGTCCACAACAAAAATCGGCAACATGTATGTTTTAGATCAATTAAAAACCGTATATCATTTTCGGTCTACTTATAGGCTTAAATGTGAACGTGGCTAGTGATTTGGGTATAAATTAGAGGGGCCACTACATTTTTTCTGATAATATCCTCTTTT